CTGGCATTCGGTGTATTCTTAGAACACTGGGTGTCTCTAGCCATTCTAGGGAAAGCGTAACGACCAGACAACAGTGGCGCCCTGACCTTACACTGGACACAGAGTCAGCAGAAAAAAATCCACATCCACACCTGTTAGTGACAAAACAACACGGTTATCCAAACCTGCAAATGGGCAGCGGCTAAATCCTCACAGCTCCAAAATACACAAAAACATACTAACACTCATAGCTCACACAAACATCCTGACACATTCACTCACAAACACTACAACACATTCAGCTGTTGCATACACAGCCACAAATTTCACAACAGGTGGGCCATGACGCACAAACCCTGCTAGAAAAACCAGCATAGACCAGCATGGCTGGTCACCAGCAAAACCAGAATATGTTGTTTTGGATGCTAGAGTGTTGGTCAGCAGCGATGGAAATTAATAGGCTGATCACCAGCAAAACCAGCATATCGGTGTTGTTGGAATCTCCAAAATGATAACTTTACAAGAGAAGGCATAAACCTACATTACTTTTAATGGAAGTCAATGGAACCAGACTTTTTTCCACGTAGTTTTGGGCCGTTTCCTTTGGTCCATTCTTCATGAAAGCTACACACAATGTAAAAGGCAACAGGCATTTTCATATGTCAAAAACTGAAGAACGACAAAAATGGACATAGAAGGTTTTCTTCCGACAGCAGTGATATGTTTTGTTTTGGATGCTGGTATGCTGGTCAAACAGCATGACCATGCTGTGTGACCAGCTAAACCAGCACCAGACCAGCTTTAAGCTAGCATAAACCAGACCAGCTTAGACTAGAATGGAATGCATTCTGGCCTGGGCTATCTTTTTTCAGCAGGGAAGTTACTAAACTATAAACACACTGAATTCCATTTTAGCTTGCTAGTTGCCGTTTACTACAGCAAATCCTTTTAGCTTTTGGGTCTCTCCCTCCCACAGCATTCAGAGGAGACTGCTTTGTTAAAAAAGCTAGCTAGCTGACTAGAACGAATCTTTTTAGCTTTCATTCTTCTTTTTCTCTTTGTCACAACATTCTAAGGAGACTACTTTGTTGAAAAACTAGCTATCTAGCTATCTACTGGAACAGCTTTTGGTCATAGTGTCATAGTGTTCTGAGGAGACGGCTTTGTTGAAAAACGAGCTGGCTAGCTAATTAAAATGAAATTTTTCAGCTTTCGGTTATATCCTTTTCCTTTTCAGAATGTTCTGAGGAGACTTTGTTGAAAAAATAGCTATCTAGCCAGCTAACTGGGAAAGCTTTTGGTTATCTCCTTGCCACAGCATTCTGATGAGACTACTTCATTAAAAACTAGCTGTCTAGCTAGCTAACTAGAATGGATCTTATTAGCTTTTGGTTCTCTCCTTGTCACAGTGTTGTGAAGAGATGGCTTTGTTGACCCTAAATTTAATCTAAATGTAACCCCTGTGATCCAGGATACAATTAATAACATCAAGAAATTTGGAGAGGGGAAAAGGAGAGAGGGAGAGGAAGGGAGGCATGGCAAGATACGCAGAGAGAAAACAAACCTTTCCAGAGAGCCGTCACTTTTTCCCCAAGACTGCGAGGAAGACCACACAGCGAGCACGGCTATATTGGGGGACGGGACGGTCCATGTAATAAAGTTAATGAAAGGCAAATAGTCTGGCAAGTAAACATTGATTATCTCTGGAACTTGGCTGAGGGTTTTGAGAAAGGGCAAATTCTCCTCAGTGGGTTTAGTGTGGAGGTGGGGGGCATGTAATAACAGAAATGGAGGGGGGAAAGGGGGAGAGGGTAGCATATATCAGATGGGACAGGTGTCCGACTGTGGCAGAGAGATTGCAGTCGAATTTAAAGACATTTCAGAGTAGTACAGCAGCACAACATATATACTGTGATTACACCATATATGCAGCCTTTTATGATATTGTTGTATAAGCTAACAATGCAATAATGATAAAGAAGTTATATATTGTGTTATATTGTACAGCCCTACAAGATACATCACAGAAATCTGCCTCAAACGAGTTCCAACATAAATATGTCCAATAGCATATAAGTAGCAGCAAACACACATGTAAAATAATTAGGTGATAAGAAAGCTAAAGTCATTTAGGGAGGTTAAGCGAGAAATAAGGCCAGTTTAAGTGACTTTGCTGTGGATAAAAAGGGGCCAGTTCATGTTATTCTGTAGCAGGTCACCTGACTAGTTGAGTGAGGATCAAACGGCCGCATCAATCTCTAATTAGATCTGTGGACGTTTCTTTTAAGACCCGGTTCCGGTAAATTTGCTTTTTTGATGAAAAACACATTCCTCACTCGGCCTTGGAGGCAAACGATGCTGGCTCCCAGTGAGGCAGCGTGTGGGACAGTCTGAGCGTGTGCAAGCCAGAGAGAGCACGAGGGCAAAATATTCCCCTTTAATAAAGCATGTCAGTGGAAAACAGCAGCCTTATCAGACATCCTCAGGGTGGAGAAGCTTTAGTGCTCATGTTTGTCATTACATGGCTGGGGAACAGTTTTAGTCAATTTTGTTTTTCCAGCTGGATGAAAGACTCCCTAAGTTAGTGGATTCAAGGCAACCAGACAAAAATTTGTATTCATCTCAAAAGCAGCCCAAGAGAAAGCTTACAAAGCCTCGTACAATAGTCTAATGTATTCAGTTAATCGAATTAAATGTTGCTTGCTTTCTGAAAAACTTGCATGCTAAGTTATTACGAGTCATACAGCTAGTGTAGAAAATGGATTAGCCAAATCATAGGCTTGCAGGTAATTTAATGAGTAATGCTCCATAGCCTTCCAAAACTCTCCAAAAGTCTTCTTTTTTATACATCTGACATTCTTATTGTTGTTTTCTATTACTCTTTTGCATGCACAGCCATAGGGAGTGAAATAAAAAAGACAAAAAGTCGTAAATCAGCCCCCCAGGGATTAGGTGAAACATTAGTGTAGAAAAAAGGCACATTAGAGGATCACCTGTAGTGGAGGGTCAGGTAGCGAGTGTCGAGGTTTGGAGTGGTTCACGTTGGTAGCAGTGGATAAGCCCCTATAATACCCTCTTGCCTCCCTCCACTAGCTAAGTAATGCACCCGCTGCTTGTTGAAACAAGGCTTAATCTCAGGCCTTTAAAGCGTAAGCTAATAGACGGAGGAATCACGCTGACCCCAAACAGCAAGGACGCTCAAACGAGCACTGTTATTTCAGTTTGGGGAAGGTGCGGCTAATAGAGCTGCACGTGAGTGTAAGAATTACACTATCTGGGATGAATATGCATGTCGAGGGACCAGTCTGAAGTGTTTTTAAAAGCTAGCTAGAGGATAAACATGGATATAAAATGATTATCCAGTCAACACTCAGTGAATGATGCTTGTCCTCCTGTTAGCACTGCTGCATGTCGAGGACTGAGGCTGTAGTGCAATCGCCCTCCAGTTTTGGAGGGCGATTGTCCAGCACAGTTTAGTGATTTACCTGCTCAAACACACCTGATACAACTCCTCTGATAACTGCCAGGTTTAGTGGGTGTGTTTGATTAAAAGTGCTACCAAACTGTGCTCTCCAGGACTGGAGTTGTGCACCCCTGCTATAGAGAATAGGGGAAATACAGAACCTTGGCTGACCCCAAGGTTTGCTGCATAGAAAGGACATTTGCATTAGGCAATTGGTTTAACTGACTAATTAAGTCTCCTGTATGTCACAGCTGAGAGATGTGTCATGTTTGTAGAGACAAGGTTGAAGATCAGGTAATATAGTTTATTGTTTTACATGTACCTTGTAACCACAACGGGATTAATACCACTTAAATCCACCTCTAATGGAGTATGAGCTTACTGACCCAATACTTTACATTTGTGTAGCAATTATGCTATTTGGACTCCAGGCTTCTTGTAGCATCATTACAATAAGGCTTGCATTTATTACTGTTTTCTTTAAATGCTTCTCCTTTGAGGTTCCAGAATCTTTTGGGCAACTAATGGATTCTGCAACTATTCTGAATGAAAACTACACAGTTTCTGAACAAGTTAGCAGTTGCACTCCCACCAACTATGGTGCCTGACTATGCCCAGTCTGGGATCACCACTGCATCACCAGCCTCAGGCAGTGGGGTGTTAAGTGCCTTGCCCAAGGGCACAACCAGGTAAACCTAGCCAGATCTGGGATTTGAACTCACAACCCAACGGTTGCTTGCTTATCTCTCCTACCACCAGGCTACAAGCCACCTCTAGTACCACTGTTTTGCAGTGTACTAAAACCCCAATTTACCTAAATGTCTCAATGTTTTCAAGTCAACATCTCATGCACATCTTTGTTCGGTCCACTTTTCTATCTTTTGATTGCTCTTTCTTGCTTGCTTTGTCAGTATCCCCAAATTGTTTGCTTATTAGCCAAAAGCATGTTTACTTAAATGAAACTGCACTCTTAAAATGCATGTTAAACAAAAACACACTGACTTGTGTTACCCATTTTAACACTGTTTTTGTCCTACTGTTTTCTGATATAACACATTTCATATTAAAAGCAACCAAAAATGTGTTATCCATAACTGGGTATAGAAATATTTCAACACACTTTGTGTTCAAAGTAACACAAAACATGTCGTCTTCAACTGAACACACTGATGTGTCTAGTTAAAGACAGAATATGCTTTTGCCCTTTGGACAACTATGGCCCCAGAACTAAAGTCAGCCCTGACACTCCTTTTATGCCTCAATGCAAAAGTGCCTAGACAGGGTAAAAATAGTTCATGGCTATTCTCTGACTTGAGCTAGTCAGAAGTCTGTTATATGTTATGCTAATGTATGCTCCACTTAAGAAATCACAAATCAAAGTGGTTACACAAGCTTGTGGGTGGTTTCTACAACAGCTGCCTATGTGACATGTTCGTAAACAGTACTTCAGAAACCTCCCTCTAAAGAGATGTGGTGAATCCTGGAACATCTCAACTTGAACCAGTGTTTTAGCAGAGGACGACAAGGACACAAACCAGAAACCAAGAGCCACACTTACTGGCTACTTCCAGTGAGGCATTGTGGCTGACCGCTTCTCCCAGGTAGTTCCTGGCCACACACACGTAGCTGCCATCATCCGGCTTGCTGCGGCGACCGTGTACGATTCGCAGGAAGAAGAGTGAGCCACTGGGCAGGAGCATTCGGTGTGAGCGAGGATTGTCCCTGTCCGTCTCCACACGCTCACCGTCCTTATACCACTCCACAGTGGGGGACGGCCGCCCCTCCGCCTTACAGTTCAAGGTGGCAGGCTCGCCTTTTGACACGATCAGGTCTGAGGGGTGCTCCACAATCCGAGGGGGGTAGTCCTCCTGACGAAGACGTGATCCTGGAAATCAAAAGGAAGGACAGATATGAGTAATAGCCATTGGAATGACACTAATACAATATTAGACAGGCTCACTGATGGCTAGCTGCTAGCTTGTTTTTCTGGGTTCTGTGTTACACTAAACTGTTTGAGTGAGGAAATACTTCCGTTATTTATTTGTACAGTTTATTTTGACTGTTTACTTTGTAGATGTTCGCCTTTTCTTTCACTGACGTTCAACCAAATTCTATTAACTACAGCCATACTATACGTTTTTCCTACATCCGCTGTTGTAATTGTGCTGCCGACTGTTTGCAATAAAAACACTGAAACACATCAGCATTAATGGGACTATAGGTTGAGGCTGAATGGATGGTTAAATGTAAATGCGTTCATGGTTGTGACATCACAGCCATGATGAATTTAAATCGGTTGCAGGTTATTTTTCCTTTATGGACTGCAAGAACTAGGGATAAGTTTTAACTCCCTAAACTCTTATATTTTAAAAAAGGCAATCCAGTTTTCCATGATGTGACCACATAAATAGTTGTTTTATGTATTTATTTTTGTTACTGCTTAATAGTTCCATTTGATTTGTTAACTTGTCTTAAAGTTCTAATCCTAACCTAATCTAACCCAATCCTAATCCCAACCTCACCCAACCCTTAAACCTAACCTTAGATGCTAACTGAGACTATTAAATTAAAGCGTGGCCGAATTAACTCCATCGTTTTACTATGATACACTATGATCATGTATATGGATAAGATTGCATATGGATATGATTTATCCCCACATACTATTACATAATACAATCAGCACTAATTGACCGCACCAATATGTTATTCATCACAATGTTATTATCATGTTATTAAGATTCCAGACATCAATATTTGACTTAGGTAGACTATATGACGTTTGTATCTCACTTCTGACACGTCTCAAAGAAAGTAAAAGAAAAAGCAAAAAGGACAGAGACCAGCATTGTCTGTGCCGTCTCTGCTGTCACTCAGCGGACAGCCAGATGAGCAGCGCTATCAAAAAGCTGCGCCTAATTGGCAGCACGTCTCAAAAACTCATTTACCCAGCCTCCCACTGTGGGGGAGCTTCCACCCCCCCCCCAGCATGCTGAGGGTGCATGTGTCTGACACGCTCTCTCACTGAAGCAGCCCAGAGGTGCTTGGAGGAGCCACTAAATTAATCATGTCAACTCAAACCCATCGCCTCCTCACAGTTTAAGATTAGATTAATTAAGTTACGTCTCTGTCTCTCTCTCCCTCTCTCTCTCACTCACACACTCTTGGTCGCATGTTCATTCTGACAGTCACTGTGCAGTCTCACTTTAACGCCACCCATGCACACCCCGCCGCTTCGTTCACGCGTGATAAGCCTCGCAAAGTACAAAAATGTGCCGAGCTCATCCCTTTCCCCTTTAATTAAATTTATTAGTCGCATTTTCAATGGAAATCTTTATTTTATCGTCTGCAATCGTGTCAAACATCTTAATTAACTGCAGTCGTGAATCTGAAATTCGAAGGCCCCAGAGACGCCTCTCTCGGAGCCAAGAACAATGTAAAGCGATTAGCCGAGACCACAGCGGAGAGTGTTGTGTGGAGAGGTTTAAGAGGATATTCCTTTTGTCTTAAGCCAATCACTGAACACATAAACATCTCTTGGTGTCTGGGGACTGAGGTAATCCAAGCTGCATTACTTTCATAGCATAGAATTCCCTAAACTCATGGTGTACCTATCACTTTTCTACTGGACAAAAGCCTGTAAAGTCGGCTGTGCTCTTGGCCAAAATAAAAAGGCTAGTAAGGAACATCCTGGAACTTTCATATCTCTCTGCTGCTCTTTTAACAACATAAACTCTAAAGATGTATCTAATCTATTCAGCAAACTCATAACTACACAATCAAGCTGCAAAACGTATCATTTTTAGAGACCTCTGAAGTTGTGATGTCATTCTGTAGTCAGTGGCCTGCTCATATAATAAGTCCAGGTCGAAGTGGTTTTTCCCTATGGGAAAAAATGAATGGTGTCCTCAAAAACAGCTTCTGTGGTACAAGAATGTTTCAAAGTCTGTACATTTTGTCCTACATACATTTTCCCCCTGAATATCACTGAATCCTCTGAATAAGAAGTAAATACAAAATACTGCTACATGCAAGCTAACACTGCTACACATTGAATTTACATCATAAAACTGGAAACTTCACCAAAATATACCATGAAAATTACATTTTGTTAAATGCAACAAAACAGTTTGTTAAATGTGGTTGTTAAGATGTTTGGCAGTTCTAAGCTACACTTGGATTAGCTGTTAGAACAGAATAGAGTTGTATAGAGTTGTATGAGACAGACTTGGCGATGTCATTTCAATGTGTTTGTAGCAGAGATGTAGCAATATTCTTAATTTGATGATTTAATTCCTAAATGTATCGGGGGCCGGATTCACGAAAGAGTGAAAGGAAATAATTATCTTCAGAGAATATTTGAGAAGTTTTTTTCGAGAACTGCATTTAATAACATTCTTTTGAACTTCTTAGTGTTTGTTTAAAAACCTTCGCAAGTTTTTTTCTTAAGAAAGCTTTTGTGAATCTGGCCCAAGATTTGGAACATTTTTGGAATGTGTTTGTTTTATCACAGAACGCTACAGCAGCAATTTTAAACAACCCCACAAAGTAATTAATAGCACATTTCTGTTACAGAGTAATTCATAGTAACCACTAGATAAGCATTAAGACTATCCATGTTCATGTCTATCAGTGTTGTATGTCTTCAGCACTATTTGGATGGGATTAGTTTTACATGGGGATGTGGGGTAAAGTTCATTTGCCACTGGAGGTCTGTAATGTTTATGAGTAATTCTCACAGGATAAGAAAAAATACAGAGATAGGAGTGGCCATGTTGATCAGCTGCTCACAAATAGAAAACATACCCCAGCATTTACTTTATTCACAATTTGTTTTACCCCAACCTGGACTTAAGTGAATGCAAATCAATGGGAATTCACAGCCAACAGTCAACACTGCTGCATAAAATCAATTGCAAAAACTGCTTTTCCACAGGATCAGTAATATACACTGACATTGGAATTCATCCAGTATTCTTCATAGTATAGTTAATTTTATAGTAGCTAAAAAATGCCAGAATCTTTACTGACCGTAAATCCGCAATCCATAAAAACTGCTGACATGGTACATTCAGACAGGATTAAAATCACTGAGAAACTCTGGTAATAATTACATTACCTACCTCATGTAAAACTAACCCCGCCAAAGCAGATTAGCACTTCAGTTGTTGTTTTAGTTCCCTTATGTAAAGCATTGTCGGCTCTGTGAAATGTTATACATACTATTATTATTATTATTATTATTATTATAATTATTATAATGTGAAATCAGATTTTTCCCTGTGGCTGCAGAGCTGGCCTTCTATTTTCCTCAGACGGGAGTTAGCTGGGCTGTTTTCTCCAGAATGAGGCATGATGGCGCCTGGGCCCGTCCCGTTAATCAGCCCCCATTTGCGAAGAGCCTCCATTAAAGCCTTTGATCCTGCCGTTGGCAGGGCAACGGCGCAATGGCCTCCGCTCTCCACAGCATGTTGGACTTTGAGGGAATAGCTCCGCGTTTCCAAAGAGAGAACAGTGATATATAAAAAATAAAAATCCAACACACACTGTATGTTTTATTAAAGTTCGCCTTTGAAGTCCCACCGTGTTCTGCTATCTGCTTTCCCCCGTCCTTGCTAAATTATTTCCTTTTTCAAAAATATCTATCACGCGGTGGGGCGAGGGGCCATTCCTTTAAGGAATTACACATTTGTATTCTGCGAAGTAAGTGGTGGAAAAGCTGCAGAGGGTAGCACATTTTTTTTTCATGGGCTCATCTCTGAAGATTAATTATGACACTGGAGTGGTAGTGGGTATGGCGGCCCACATGGGCCGAGCTCCACGCACACACCCAGCCTCTGGGTCCCACTACTGCACATCATCCATCACTATCTAGCCAACTGCCGACGCTGCTGCCCTGTCCCGTGTGTGTGTGTGTAAGTGTGTGTTACAATCCATTACTATGTTTCAGTAGAACTGTGAACGTATGCATAGCCTGCAAGCTTCACCCATAATTAGGTCACTCAGTGTTTTGTCAGCTATTAGCCTCAATGTGGTGTATGGACATCTTGAATTGCTACATTCAGATTATTCTGCCTCCTTTCAAGTGAAAATCAGATTCAGACAATTTTCCCCTTATTCAAATAGACAAAGGTTAAAATGGACATATGTACTTCAAGAATCAAGACAGTTGCTACTACAGCATGATGTACTGTTGATCACTTTTATAGATAGTATGTCATACAGAGCCTATATGAAATGACTTAAAGGAGACACAATAATATAAAACTGAGTTTTCCTTGTTAGGTCACATATAAGTTTCTTGTCATTGTATCTATCATCTAAAAATTTGCAAAATATACTCATTTTGCCATATTTCATTTTTGCAGAAAATGTGATTCTACAGGCAGGATTTCTTGCTCAGTCCCACTTCTCTTGATTAACCACGCCCACTCACCCAGCCTCCATACTTTCACCCTCACCTCAGCTGTTTCACATATAAACATTTCTGATGGTCAGGATAGTAAAACACCAATGTTTCCTGGACTCTGGCGGCCCACCATAATCTGATTTGTCCTGCCTCAGTTTCAAAATGAACCAAGAATGTATTTACACTTCTCATAATAACATACGCAACATTATGTTTTGCCCTATTACAGCAAAGTATTGCTCACTACCAGTCAGCCCCCTCCCCTCCTCCACTGTACACACATAATCACTGGACTGTTGATAGACATGAGGCATTTTGAGGATACAACACTGTCGGATTTGAGGTAAGTCATGCTAACTTTACAGTATCCACCGCAGTGCAAACACAATCTTGACGTTATCAATGTAAGACAGCAAACAGATGACATCAATTTGTTAATTCATAATTAATGTTAATTCATAACATTAATTCAACAT